TTTTTTATGTGCTGAACTGCCTACGAGTAATATATTAGACCTCACATTTGTGCACTTTAGTTGCTATAATTTTGGTAAAAGGCTTTATTTGTTAAGGTATTAAGAACTTAAGCTATATCATATCTGGTTGACATGTTCTTCGTAAGTTTATTCAAAATATTGTTGACTGAAAAACATTCATTTGCCGGTAAGTGAATGCAGTTACTAAATACTTTGTCTGAAGTTTTTGGTAGTCCCTCTCAATTGGCTTGATGTAATTTAGTCCAATCCAAGAAGCAGCCAATTTTTTTAAGGTAGTTCTTGCTAAGTTTTCCCAACATGAAAAACTGTTTTTATGTAAGATCATTTATGCACCAAAAGAATTCTACAGTCACTGCAACATTTTACCAAACCAACCTCTCTCAGCGGCTGAAGAATTGCTGAGATTTGTGGTGGAAGTGTAAAAATAGTCCAAAGGACCATGTAGAAATACTTCGTTTTCATCATTGTCGAAGGCGTGGGCACTACATTAAATGTGCATACCAACTTTAAGGAGCCAGAGACCAGTACTGGTTACATTATTGGAAAGCCAGTGACCTCTGTGGAAATAGACAGCGACCTTCTGTCCAATGAGTGCATGGCATACAGGGCAGGTTAAATGGAGCAGCGCCAACTTGTCTGCATTAAATTGCAGTTCATTTCGTAAGAATTGCGACGAACATGACCTAAATTTATTTTTTCAGTGTTGACATAATAAATATCTTCAGCAATAAATTTGCCACAATCCTTCAATTTTGTCTTCGCATATAATTACTTCCAAATTCATCTTGTTTAAAGTTGTCGGACAGGCAAAATCTCACGTGCGAATATTCCGGTCCTGATTATTCGCCTAAATCTTTACTACGGGCATTAACTATATTTTCCTGCAATTGCATGGATGCAATGATGAGTGCAGTTGTGCAGTTTTTTGGGTAGTCAAAGAAGCCGATGGGATTACAAACTGTTGTAACAGGTAGGAACTTGCAGTGAGCATCCGCATCCCTTCAATGTGTATGGGCCGCTCACTTTTACCGTGCTCTGCTAAGCTCCCATACTTCAGAGCCCAGACATTAAGAAACGGCATTTAAGACTAGTGGATGTAAATTGAGCTTGTCCACTTTACAAATCGAATTTATCAGCCACAGATACTACACCACAGTTTTCCACAAACATGCTTTGATGAGTATAATCGGAGCGAGGATTAGATTTTGCTTAACTATTGTTAAATAGCCTTCAGTTAGGCAGAGGTATGAATAGCTGTAGTGCAATGTGCGTATTAATTTTTAGGCCATATTTATGGCGAAGTGAGGTTTCTTGGAGATTTTAAAGTGCCCATTTTTTAAGGTCGCCATAAGTTCACTTATGATTTGCTAAATGTTACAACCGAGGCAATAATAATTTTATTTAGAAGCAGTTGCAGCCTCTTTTTTCTCTTTAGCTAAGCAGGATTTTTGATGGTTCGAGTAGGAAGGAAGGAAAAGGGGTGCTTTTGGGATCATTCAATGTAGATATTTGTACTTTCTTTTCAACGCACGGAAGGGTTACATTGTCAGCTTTCCCCTTTTGCATTGATGAAAATCTTCCTTGAACATTGCGAAGAGTAAACCATTGCTAATGCTTTTCTTATCATATGCATCTACTTATCTATCTGAAGGCTGACAAACAGGAAAATAGGGACTGCATATAATAGGGAGAAATGGAGGATAAAAGAGGTATAAAAGTTTAACAAAGGAGGCTTAAAATTTTTTTTTCCTTAGATTAGCCAATCATCTTTTAAACAATAAGCTACATGTCTTCTTTAGTGTCTTTTTATTTTATCTAGCCCTCTCCTTATCTATGGGTGTGATTTATATTGAGGCTTTGGTTCTCATCCATCAGTTAATTGGTTGGCAAGATATCCAATGGGCAACGATTGCTTAGCAGATGTTCCTCTCTATCAACTGATCTATTAGCGTGGATGAGTCAGCAACAAGCCGTACTTGGAGAGCACAGACCATTGAAACATAAGTCACCCACTTACCAATCCATTCGGCGGCGGCTTATTCACAGCGCCTGTTTGTAATTGTCACTCCTGATTAATGCGCACTTCAACTTGTAATGACAGTGATTAGAGGAGGGAAGCATGTAAAGTGGTAGCAATCAGGAAAGGTGGATAAAAGAAGTGTAGCTTAATCGTTCCGGATTCGCAGCAAAAACAGCCACCAAATGTCAAGCCATGTGTAAGAAATTGATAGAAGTTAAGTGGAAATAATTAGGTGTGTGTATGGTAATGCTTCTAGTAATAAAAACCTAAAGTTTATTGTTTTTTGGGCCTGCAGCACATTAAAGATCATTTAGTAATGCCTAAGCAGTAGCAACTTCTTCAGCGGTACCTACCAGGGATATTATTTTACAGTAACACGGCTGTTCTTGCTGCCTTTACCAGAATTCGTAGTATGGGCAAGTGAATAGACGATTGGATGGCCCATGCGTGATTCGATGCAGTAAGATAATTAAAGGTAGGTGG